CACACTGCTTGTACATCTATGAAAGAAAGCTGGATGTTTTTATGTTTTGTTTGTTTTTGTTTGTCTTTAAAAACCAATAAAACTTGTTTTGTTTTTTTTAAAAAAAAGTTCAACAGAAGAAAGGTTTTAATTTTTGCCACTGTCTGCTGCCGTCAAGGAACTTCTGGAGGACTTCTGGTTTCTTCACTTTCGACCCAAGAGAGGCCACCTGGGGTTGTCTCTCAGCTGCCACCCACTCCCAAGAAACGCAACGTTTGTGTTTTGCTCCTTGACTTTCTCTCTCTCCAGAGACAGGCAGACAAACTGGTTGCAAAGAGGAGACAAAGTGGAAACGAAACTTCTGGTGGAGTAGAACAGCTCAGAACGTCTTCAGCTGATTTGCGTGGATGGAGAATGTTGGCCCCATACCTGCCCATTTCAACTCCAGCTTAGTTCAGTTCTGATCCACCCACCCACCCACAAAAAAAAACCCTCTTGGAAACTTTTCCCAAACAGAGAAATGCTGAGGAAAATCCTAAAGAAATCTAGAATTTGTTCCCCAGTGCTCTCTGCTGGCTGCTGATGGGTGAGGCAGGAGGAAATGGAGGGTGTGAAGTTAAAGAAAAAAAGCGTTTGCCTCTTTCCACTTTGATTCCTCTGGAGGGGTGAGCGCAAGCTAACGTAAAATGGGGGTCACCAGAGTCAGAGGATGAAAAAAAGCGGCAGCATCCCAGCTCTGCACTCTCAGCAAGTTCTCCACGGAGATCTCCATAACGTCCACGGAGTTCAAGAACAGAATAGAATAGAAGCTGGACGGGATCTTGGAGGTTTCTAGTGCAGCCCCCCTGCTCCAACAGGAGAGTCCAGCTCCCCAATTTTCTTAGGACAAAACTTAGCCTCCTTTCCCTGATTCTGGAGGTCTCACCCTTGCAAACCGTGACCCCGAATCACTCAAGACTATCAAAGCAGAGGAACAAACAACAACAATAATAATAATAATTTTCTTTTGAAAGAGTGGAAACCTTTTACTGTATAGACTTTTTGTTACCGAATTGATGATTTATAGATTCGGAGATTTGGAGACTAAAAAGGATTAAAGAAAGAGGGGAAAGAGTTAAGTTGTTAAGTTGTAAAAAGAAGGGAAAATATCAAAATCCTATTCTTTCTTTCATTTCTCCTCCTCCTCTTCCTCCTGCCTCCTCCTCCTCTTCCTCCTTCTTCCTCTTCCTCCTCTTCTTCTTCTTCTTCCTCCTCCTCCTCCTCCTCCTTCTTCTTCTTCCTTACCCCCTCCCTCCCTCCCTCATCTTTGGTTCTTTTCTTGCACAAATAAGTTTCGTTTCATTACCAAACTCATCAGTAGGCTAGCACTGATGATGTTATCTAGTTTAAGTAATGAAACATCTGCAAGAAAACAACCAAGCTCAGAAACCACCAAGAATCTCACAGTCCTTTCCCCTCTTCCTCTCTGCAAACAAAAGCAGAAGAGATGTAGCTTCATCACATATAAAAGAAGAATCAGAGACTTCTGGCTGTTGTTTTATGTTCCAGAAATAGGATTGGTTTTCCTTTCACTTTTAACATGCGAAAATCTGTTAACACTGATTTCAAGTTTTATGACCGGAAGAGGAGTTGAAGAACCCAAAATACCCGTGTTGAAAGGGCCTGAACATGTAGAGCTACATTGCATTTTGATTTCCCTGTCCTGATGTAGAAGGATGAAGGAAACCCAACAAAGACTCCAATGGTTCCCTTGGGTGTTTAAAAACTTTAAGCAGGTGACTTAAAATCCAGACAACTAGCCACTTTTGATTTAAGGAAGGACAATATTCTTCTTTCTACGTAGATTTGTTTTCCTAGTACAAGGGTCTTCAAACTTGGCAAGTTTAAGACTCGTGGACTTCAACTCCCAGAATTCCTGAGCTAACACAACTGGAGGAGGAATTCTGGGAGTTGAAGTCCACAAGTCTTAAA